CAAAACAATCAAAACTTAGAATGGATTCATACGTATATAAAACTTGAACTGCAGTAAAGAAAATAACAAAATAAAATCTAACCTTACAGCAGCTTACCAATTTCAGTTAAAGTATGAAGTGAAAATTTAAAGAATAAACAGCTACAGCTTGGGTAGCGAACTCTAAATGAACTGAGATTAAATTTTTGAATAAATAAGTAACTCATAAACACTCACTAATATAAAATCACGATATACAATTTGATAAATACACTTCGGATTGCAGTCTGCAAAATTGGTCAACATGATAAAATGTTTTCAGCAATGCAGCAAATTCATAATAATGCGATAGTTAAAATATTGCAAAGACTCTGCACATCTGTAAAAAATAAGTTATAAATCTTTAGTTGCTACTTCGTTGTGAATTATTAGTTAAAAAAGGGCAAATTTAACCGTATTTTTAGTAATGCAGCTCTAACTTGTGAATTTACATGATTTTAAAGCCGATAAGAAATTTGCCATTTGAAGATCGAAAGTTTGCTCCCAGAAATTTCTTAACTAATTTTAATTGATATCCTTCTTTTTAAATTATAGATTCAGTCTTAGTTTTTTTTTTTTTTTTATTTGAAATTCAAGACTGGAAGTCCTTCCTTGTGAGAGTTGGTAGAATGTATTTAATGATTTACGATCTAAAAGATTTAATATTTTGATAAACAAAAAAGAATGGATGCTTGAATTTAAAAATTCAGAGAATTCCAGGACGATTTTTTATCATATGCCTTTTTAGGTTATCAAGGTTTTTAATGAGAAACATTTCCATCAGATAATTCCTTTAAAATGTTTTTCTTAACACGCAGAAGTCAGTGATTTTAGGCTCTAATAGAATTCATATCAGAAGAGAAATGATAAGAATCGATGAATTATGTTTGATAAATTTGATGAAAAACCGTAGAATCTAGATCTGAATTTTACCTTCACCTTCTCTTTCACAAGCTTCATTTTAGAATAGCTGCATTCGAAGAGCTCGAAAATTCACTAGTTTCTTTTCGTGAGAAGATTCAGGAATTCGAGAGTTTTTCTGGATTTCACGATAGTGAAAATCTATATTGAGAATAAAAAGATAGGAAGAAATAATAAAATATGTAAGATGTAGCCATGAAGTTTTATGTGGGCTCGGAAAATATCCAGATAAGTTCACAGCACTCACATTTTTATAATTACGATTTTATTATGACTAACCTACATATAATGTTGGAAAGTTTCAACTAGCACACCAAAGAGATAAAATAAAAGGGTAAATATTGAGATTTTTAGGCTTCTGGAAGCCAACTATGCCTTCATCAGGACTTGCAATGCCTCGTAATGCTAGCTGTGCGTGCTAACTACTAGCTCCACGAGAGCAAGCACGAAGAAATGCAATAATTCGTTATATTCTTTTCACTTAAGGGGTTCTTGTCAATAGAGGAGCCACAAGACCCGGTCGAACAAATACAGGTGCTAAAGAATTTTGTTTCAAAACATATTATTTCTGGTCCGTTGTAGAGACTATTAGACTAATAGCTATCATCTAGCTCACCACGGAATCACGTGTGGGAAAAAGTGATAATTTCTTGCAGAGTTAGTTTTCAGCCAGAATGTAAATCAATTAGACTACAGAAATCTTACCTTTTTGGGTGGCATAAACTAATATCAAACGCCTAGCAGAGTGAATTATCGCCGTGTCTGAAGTTAACGACACAGATTTGAGAAGGTTAGAATAATCTTTATATTAAATCAGAACTTGAACATAAAATACGCTTCTTGTGCTTGATAATAACGACCCCACTTGTGGCGATGTAATTTATATTAACAGTCAAATTCAAGTTTAAACTAAGCCTGGTGGTAGTTGATTTTAACTCTAAGTTAGCTCAGAACTTTTCACCAGCTTAACAATTAAATGTCGGTAGAAGTAACAGAAAGTCGTAGAATTACAATCGTATAAGTACTGGCGAAACATAATTACATAGCTTTGAGAGGCAGAAATACGATTTTTTTTCAGTTTAAATACTGTCTCTGTTTTCAGTTTAAATACTGTCTAACTAATTAATATTTCCGATGAAGAAACGGAAAAGGAGAAGTTAAAGAAAAGGTCTAAATTATAATAACTGGTTAATTAAAATAGTAATAACCCTTGTTCCACTAACGAATATATAAATGTTCTATATTTATAAATTTTATTGTCAATTAAATTCGTAGTTTCTGCTCACAAGCAAGTTTTTTAATAAAGTATCTCTCTGATTTTCATTTCGCTGGTCGAAAAATAGTAATGTTATGGGGTACGTTGTACCTAAAGCAGGTTTCTTCAAAGAATAAAATAACCATGTCTAGGTGTCCTTTTCAGAACTTGAAAGAACACAAAGTTGAGTCTTGTTAAAACAGGGCCAACCACGTCTTATAATATCTGATACCTGCATTCGTTAATAAACTGGTTGAAAAAAGAGAATGAACAACTAGGTAAAGGTGCTTTGTGTTAATTCTCTTAATTCAATTCCAATGAAAACTAACTTGTAGAGTATAGGCTAATAGTTTGTAGGATATCTTATGCTAGTTGACCAGTTATTAGAACGAATTAATTATAATTTCAGTCTTTACTGTAACTTCTCCTTCCCCGCAAAACTACTCCACTAGAATGCAAATAAGTAGTGAGTATTTAAAGTGATGTTTTGGTATTTGAGACAGAGAATTTTCCTGGAATACCGTGCGCTGTACGTGATTAGTACCTGCCAACTATAAACGTTGTATTTATTTGGCTTTGTTGTCTCTCGCTGACGACAGTTTAAATCTGGCCCGCCGGTAGGGTCATTGATCAGCTTCCAGTTCAGTAATTGTGTAGTGTTTGACTGCTGTTCAACGTTTAATTTAAACTTTGCTGTTTGTTTGCATCACTACAAGTTGCAATTATTGTAGCACGAGAGCGTGCCCTTATGTTTGTAGTAATGTCTCAATAAAAGGCTTATTGTAACCTTCTTATGACTTAAAGAAGACTTCTTAAGACGTTTTTTTCCGACATATCGATAACTTGTTTCGCGTCTGTTAGGGTTATAGGACTAAAATAGCATCACCATATCAAGTCTAACCCTACAAACTCAAGGTCAATGTTATCAAATATTCTAATGGGATTCATCTTGGCCGTACAAAAATATGTAAATTTTGCATCCATTCCTTCGGCACATATGGAAAGGAGTATATTGGGGTACTTCAGACTCTAATTTCAGTTATTGTAGGAATGACTAAAATAAAAGTTTCTCATGTGGAAATAGCAACTTGGTCGTTGAAAAGGCATTTGACAATTGCAAAAAGGCATGCAATCGCGATATGGAAGCAGGCAGACACTTAACATAGATATGAAGAGACTTAAGACTAGACAAAAGCGTCCTGGTTAGAGCTTGGAAGTGGTTTAAAGACACAGGTGATGTGAGCAGACTTTCAGGTCAAACATGCCACAACGGACTATCAGGATCTTTACTTTGCACCGATTGATAAAAGAAAGAAATAATTGACATCAGCCTAAACTGCAAAGAAATTTGTTGCAGCAACACGAACTCAACAATCTAGATGCAACATGAGTGACAAACTTCTTTAAAACAGCTGTATGCAAAGCAACCAATGATTTTATATCCCACCAACTTGTGCTGTCAAATGCGTTCGGTTTCATTAATACTGTGATCATCGCCATTGAAAGTGAGTTTATCTTATTAATATGTTTTGTATTTGTTTGAAGAGTGATTCTAAATGTGTGAAAATTTGAAGGAAACAAAACACTCGCAGTAAGCCTGAAATCATCAGTACAAATTAGGTGAAGTCTTGGAATGGATGCGTGTCATTTTAAATGGCCATATTGACCTACGTATTTTTATCAGTGCAGTTATCATGCTGAAATATACAGAGATGAAGTTCTTAATCCTTACATCAAGTTGCTTAGGTGTGCAAACATTAATAACTTCCTCCTAATAAGAGATAATTCTTATTCACACATCAGTGACCGATTATCATTCCATCCGATGGCGTGGCTTGAAAATTCTGCGAATTTAAATCCGACAGAAATGCGTGGGATGTACTAGATGCCAACAGGTATCACTGCAATCGCTACCAAGCCGTTGCTAAGGGGTTTCAAGATTCTATTTATCGTGAATACACTTCGTTAATGAAGCCAAAGGAACTGATGGATAATCTACAAGAAATACACAACACGGAAAGTCTTTCTAAAACTTTCATTTTGATCCACGCACCTTATAAATTATTTCTAATGTATCTCAAGTGTATGTAATCAATTTGTATATTTCTAACGCATCTCAAAAATTTTTATTACAAAGTTTTCCTACTCCACTTTATATTATATTTTAGGCATTCTTTAGATTCAGTCCTTTGGAATTCTGCATTCGGATGACTCGCAGATATGACAGAATAAAGATACCGTGATGGTTTCATATTCTTCGTTACAAAATCATTCATATTACTGTAATTTTTATAGTTGTTGCTTTAAATTTTCCCGTAGCTCTTTTAATTTCTTTTTCTTTTTAATTTTATGTCTTAATTTTTAATGTGTATTTAAAAAGGATTCTAACCAATCGATTATCGCTTAGTAGATAAAAGTTGTCTCGCAAACCTTATTTTCTGTAAATCTGAAATATTTCTCTCTTTTTAGCCCAGAAGGGCTATTAGTCTTAAAACGGCAATTTGAATCGAATCACTTTTCAAATTGTTGCTACCAAATATCATCGCCCTATATTAAAGAAATTAAATGAAGAATCTACATGAATGTGTGTATGTCTCTCGCACTGTGAAAAATCAACGGCACCTAGAGTCATCAAAATTGAATAACATTGTCCTCCATCCGAACATGAGCACTTAGAAGCCCGAATTTGGTTCATTATCTATTTCATATTGTGTAAAAGTTTAGCGAATTTTTAATTAAAAAAACTCAATAATTTCAAAGCGAGCAGTGGCAAAACTATAAATAATAAAACATTTTTATCTTCCAGATCCATCAGAATTAAAATTTGGGAGCTGGTATACTGCAAGCCCATCGGAAACTGCCTACTTCTACTGCTTGTGTGGATAGTAATATACGGCACCGTACGTTTATCGCTTGAAAAAAAAACGAACGAAAAAAGTTCTAAATTGATACAATAAATTCAGATTTGTAATTGTGACAAATTAAACTGCGCATGTGTAAAATAAACAAAAGTTACCTGCCAATCACACATTATTAAACCTAGAAAGTTAAAAAATTTAAACACATTTCGAAAAAACTTACTTAAGAATGTATGCAAGAAATCCTCATTTATAAAGCATTAAAAAGAACTAACAAAATATTCCATTGCTCAAAATTATGCATGTTTGGAAAATATCCTGCGACTCAATTATACGATCGTTTAGAAAAAAGTACTTAAAGTTATGCACGTGTGGAAACTATCCTAAGACTCACTTATATAATCATTTAGAAAAATGAATAATGACACGTCATTTTGAGCAACTATTGATTTATAACCGCTGTGCAACCTTGCATGCACTTAATATTACTATTGAGAGATTTATTATCATTCTATCTACAAAACGAAGTATACTTTTAAGTGTGTAAGAAAAAAGTCACCCATTGCATTACTTTACTCACAAATCGTTTACTGGCTTTATGAATAAACCATTAAATGTGTTTCTCAGAAAGAGATTACCGATTTCCAAGCTACCGATCTAAATACCTCGTTTAAAATCGAAAACGCCATTTTTTTTAAGAGCTAAAATGTGAATTTAATCTCAATAAGAGTTAAGCTCCTTGCAACATAAAGAACGCATTTGCCGGTTATTTGCATCTATACATATGTATATTTCAAACTAGATGGGTTCGCGATTGGCTATGTTTGGTTGATACGAAACACTTCCATAGCCAATGAGAATTCCGATTTCGAACTTTGTGACGTACATCATCAAGAAATCAAACTGAGTTGCATGCATGGGCAAGAACTTAAATTTTATTCGTAAATAGTTCAAAGCATTGTATGGAGGTTTTGTCAAAAAATGCCTTTCATTGTTAATGCAGTACTTCTGAGAATTTCTTACATCATTATTCTAAGTTTTAAGTTTCCATGTACTTTGTTAAATTGAAAATGTGTTCTTTTGTGTTTTCGAAAACTTAATATAGGCATTCTTTTCCCATCTCTTTAAGTTTTGCGTGACTATTTTTAGCTGTAAGAGAATGTTTTCTATTTTAGTATATTCTGAAAATATGAAGATTACGGAAAACTCAGAAATTCATGAAATTCTGTTATTGGAATTTAGTAAAATAAAATAGTATTCTGTTTTTCATGTATGGAAATGTATTTCTTACTATAATGATGGCATTTATTCGGCTCGTATGGCTAGATCCCCATAAAAAGATGAATATGAATTTCATTACTTTTTATCGATCAAACGAGAAAACGTTATTATTTTTGAAAAGTAATCATTTCATCCTAACAATAGAAGATTGACAAGTATTATTTTGGATAACGAAGTATAGAAAAACGGATTTGGATAACGAAGTATAGAAATGTCGTAAGGAAAATTCACATTTTTCGAATCAATAATAGATCGATAATTAATCGCTACATCAAAGGACACTAGTAATTAGTATAGTTTACTTGTTACTAGATTTTGATTGATAGTTTGTAAAGTTGCGCGCTTCCAACCTGCACGCAACAAAGTGGTGACTGCTGAAAACTGGAAATTAGACAGAGTCTTGATAAGAGTTTAAGTCCCTTTTTATTCAACTTTCGAAGTTACAAATGCGTGCTCTTGACGCTCACAAACTACCCCGACCCGGCGGTAAAATAAAAATAAGAACCTGAAAGGAAATAATAACAAGAGACTAACTACGAGGCTCTCTAAACGTAACTAACCTCACCGAGTTCTAAAGTACCGCTGATAATTCAGCAAACTCTGAATATTACGTTGAAAGATTAACAATTTGCCGAGGCAAGCACACAAGCCGAAACACGTGGTTATTCAATTTCTAACTAGCCACCTCCACACTCGTGAAGCAAGAAAGCACACTTTCGAACTCGTTTCCTTTCTATTTAACTCAGAATACTTCCGCTGATAATTTGAATCCTTGCGCGTTCTACTAAAATTTACATACTCTGGCATTGGCAGTTCCAGGGGAAAGTAAGGCTTGACAGGAAAGATAGTTTAAACTTAAAATAAATATTAGTTAAAATAAATATAAACCCTACAAGTTATATATTGTAAATAATTTTCTTACCAATTAATGCTTAGTAGCCTTGTATTTTAAGAAGAGCATGATTCTTGCGTTGCTATCCTTTTGAAAACAGCAAGTCCTAATATAGGAATCTCTGAATTTTTAAGTTGAAAATTTGTGTTACTACTGCTTACAAGCTATATCTATATTTTTAACATCTTAAATTGTTAAACTACTATTGGTGCATGTAGAATAAATTTCTTTTTAAAGTTACACATTCAATTGATGATGTAAAAAGGGGTTATGTAAACGTAAAAAGGGTTATGTAACATTTTTTTTTAAGGGATGATGCTAATGCCCGAAATGAATCACTACACCACGCTTCCCAAACTGCGTAAAAATTAGGCTGTAAGTGAAATACCTAAGGAGGGAAACGAGAGTCAGAATTCTCAGAAGTAATTAAAAGGGGACGTATATATACTCACGTGATCAGTTTTTACACTGTAATCTGTGACTAGTCAGAACCACCACCACCCCCACACACACATAGACTCGTTCGTTAATTTGAACTTCATTCTCACCAGTCGGTTGTTTATGTCGCAAATACCGATTTCTAGCTTATTCGTGGAATTGTTTTCGAATTCTGTTTCTAATAAGTTATGATAAAATCCTATTCTGCTGAATTAAACAAACACAAAGCGAAAACGGCAAAATATCCAAGACTGTTAGAAAACGAATGTAATAAAGAGAGCAAGGAAGACTGGAGTGAGCAACTTAAATCTTGCTGGTAAGAATCTTTATGGACAGGAATATTGCAATGTAGATAATACTGAAAAAGGCTTAGTTCCTCCGTTATCTCCATAAAATTAGCATCCATCCAGAACGATCAAACTTGAAATATGTCAAGTTCGAATGCGGGCGTTCCAGGGAATATTGTTGTTTTTTCGGATAAAAAATCATTAGTTTACCTATTGTAAACCAGTTCTTTCTAGGATATGTTTTTTTTTCTTTCGAGAAAAGTCACTAATTCATGCATTTCGGCTTAGGACAGTTTGGGGGTTGATTCTATGCAGTCAGCAGAGAAGGCAGATAGCTCTGGAATGTTTTACCATAATGGAATAAACCAAAGGTAGCAGATATGGATAACGTCTTTTCTCTATAAACCTTGGGTATCGATCCAACCGTAATTGAAAGCCTTTTACTAAAAGATAAGCAGTTTATACATCTTAAAACCTAAATATGGATCTGTTGTCATTTTTGACTTAGTTGTTTCTCTTGTGAAGTTCTTTAATTTAATATTTTTTTTTAAAAATCAGAAACTCCGCCTTCGCGTGTTACCCCTCCCTCTATAACCCCAAATTCCCAACGTTTGTATGATATTTTGAACCAGTTTGAGGTCTTGCTATTAATGGAAAAATTTCTGTCTTTTTCTATTTATTGTTTGTTATTATATTTTCAACAGCTTCTCAATGCTTTCAGATTTTTTGTCTAAAAAAATAAAATCTAATTTTAATACTATTACTTTTGATTATTTAATTTTTTATAATACATAGATTGCATCTTATTTTCTTAACAATAGTTTCATAAAGCTATATTATCTTACCGTGCCATTTGTTTCCATAAACAGTAACAAATATTTCATAAAAACGAGCGGTTTTTTTTTTCCTGTGCGAAGCAGGGAAAGAAACAAAAATGTCCTAGATTGTAAAAAAGGGGATATTTGTAATTTTTTTTTTATTTTGTAGTGGGACCAATGAACAACTAACTAAATTGTTTAAATAGCGACCGATTACATGGATCCTAGTTACATCAATATCATAATTCTTTTCGTTGTTGACTTCTGACATTCTCATGCGAATGGGGTAGTTTTTTGTTGCTCCTGTAAAATTTAATTTTTGTCACCTAGCCTTCTTTTATATCTACAGATTCAATTACAATTCTTAACTCTAATAGTTTGTAGAAACATTAGGTTTTTTTTTTTTTTTTTTTTTTTTTTTTTTTTTTTTTTTTTTTCAAGCGGGAATGATGAAAAATTAGCAACACCTTCCCCGGGAATCGAACCACGGACCTCTGGAATACCAGCCCAGCGTGCAGAACCACTACACCACGAAGGCACGCTAAGAAAGCGGGAGAAATACCTTATAAGTTACATTAAAATTAACTTACCAAAATGGTTTATATGTATGTAACATATTTGTTGCGTTCAAGCGATGAAGCAATCGCGAATTTTTCACCTTTTTTATTAAAGCATGTGTAATAGAATAAACGCTCATAATCAGACTGAATTGAGACAAGAAATGAAAACGTTTTCAGAGTTTCCTAATAAAATGTTCACTTAAGAAAAACTGGAGTTAGTAAGCTTAATTTTCTCTGATTTTTGAAATTATTTCATTTTGAAGAACAATTTTACTAAGCAGTTGCTCAATTTCAACAGACTACAGAATTTTGGAAGATTATTGCATTACATTAAGATTTTAAAGTTAAGCAAAGAAGCGTTATTATGCAGATTTTATATTATGACATTATGTAAGCTTACGGATCATTAACGTTATTTCAGTAACCTATGAAAAGTATTAATTTAGTAACGTTGTATTTTAAAAAAATTAAATAAAACACGCTGCTGTATTTAGGACAGAAATTTGAAATTACCAAATAAAAACGATTGTAAGTGGTATTACAAATTAAAATTAATTTTTAATCGTGTATATAATATATTTGTATATAAACGGCTTTTCTTAGTTTTTTAATTCTATACTAATTTGAATATACGTATATACACTCTCACAAAAAATTTGAATATATATACACATCCATAGAAAACTCTAGATACAGATATATATAAACATGCATATATATACACGTCCCAAATGAATTTTAAATAAATCTTTTCTTGGAGTAATTATAAGTATTACTTATTTAATAATAAAATGTATTTCTCTTCACGTAATCGTAAGTATTATTTAGATACAGTGTGTCAGCCAAGTTCGGAACAGACTGAAAAAACAGCTAGATACCGGCTATGTGTATCTCACATGACTTTCGACCCCTCCATTAATCAAAAATAGATCTACAAATTAGAAATTTTGTATGTCTACTAGAGCTTCCTTGAATACCTAGCATTCCCAATTTCATTAATCTACCTCTTATAGTTATAGAGTTATTAAGGTATAAAAACTGTCATTTTATCACTCACTGACTGACTCACTCATCAAAACTCTAGACCACTTCTAAATGACTTCGATAATTTAAATGTGGTATTAAGATAGATCATTAGGAATAGAGAAAGGAAAAAAATCTAAAACTTAAAAAAACTGCTTTATTATCGAGGTTAAACCAAATAATACTCATAATGAGCATTTGACAACGTCACCAATAGATGGCGTTGCACCGATCGCTGGTTTCCGCGCCACTCAGGTGCTTATCATCTTTTTCGAAAGTGGAGAATAAAAACCTATTTATAATAGATGAAATGATAGCGCAAAGGTAGAATGCAGGACCGATCCTTTTTACTTCCTTGTGCGAAGTAAAAAGGAAGTATTGTAATCGCGAAAAGTTTCAGGCAGCATATTTCAACGAAAATATTCATTTTGACCGCTATCGAAAGCAATTTAACGATGTTTTTGCGTGATATCTGTAAGTAAAGACAGAATAAAAGACTCTTTTCCTCCAAAAAAATTCTAAAACTACTTTAAAATGAATTCTGAAGAGAATTTTTCGTGGCGTCTGTACGAACGTATGTACATACGTATCTCGCATAACTCAAAAACGAGTAGCCTCAGAACGTTGAAATTTTGTATATAGGACTACTATAACATGTAGATGGTTACCTCGTATTTTGGTTGCAATCGTCCGTGCCAAACGTATATAAATATATTTATATATATATCCACTCTTATATACCACTCTTATATCTCTTATACACTCTTATATTATATATATATACCCGGCTCAGTGATCACAGTTTCTTTCCTCTTATATGTTTGTAAATTGTAAATTTTTTGCTTTAAAAAGGATTGAATTATGTTGTTCTTATCTTCCGGTTAAGGTTTTTA